AAATAGGCCAATCACATCTACAGCTTCGATTCCACCAAAGGCCAGGAAACTCAACCCTGAGGTTTCTATCAAAACAAACTGATCATTATAATACGCGTGTAGGATTGAAGGCTTTGTGAACTTTATAATCAACTTTGTAAATTTGCATGTGCGAGTTTTCAGGCTAAGCTTAATACATCAACCAACATCAGATTCTTGACACGAAACGTAAGTGTAAATGAACAAGTCAACGTACCTGGGCTGCGCTTACAAAGAAGAGTTGTTCATTGGTGTAATTAAGAGCTGGTAATTGAGGTTCCTCCCCATTTCTTTTTACCCACTCGTTATAGGCCTTTATAAACAAAACAAAATTATTGAGTTGTAGATTACTTGCACAACAGTAGCATGGTCGGAGAATTTTGTCGTGTTTCATGTTTTATTATAACTTACCTTAAAAGCTTGTTTGATCGCACCGTTGTCCGCAATGTTCTCTCCAAGTGTTTGAATACCGTTAAGCTGCAAAGAGAAATATTACTGACCAGAATGTTTTTAAGCGCTTGAGTACTCTTTGAGTACATGAGCGCTAAAGATAGTCTTAGGACGTCTCTTAGCAACACTGATTTTCTGAATACTCTCTCTATCACCGACACTTTTGGGACCGGCACTAAGTGTTCGCCTAACAGAGCCTTCCGTCTTATAGAGAGTCAAATAAAGGGAGTAAAGAAAGACAGGGACCAACTCTAGGTGTCCGTTTTACAGAGGTGTCCGTCAAGGCCGTCCACTGTATAGACGGAAGCAATGGCAGATAGCAGTAAATAAACTGAACCAAAACTGTCCCAACTAATTTCCATCGACTGATTTCTGTTTAAGCGACCGTGGCATAATAGGTCAATACTGAGGCATACATCTGCTTTTGATGGAACTGAAAAAATGCCAACAAAACGGCGGAAACGTCTCTTGAGGTATATTACAAAGTTTTTAGAGGTCATAGAATGAAACAGTCATTTTGCAATTGTTCCACTATAACCATAAGTACTGTTAGTTGGCTATCGGAATTTACCTTTCGGCCGTAAGCTTCATAACTTGAGTACTGATCTACAAAACATTTTGACTTCCTTTCAAATGCTTCATTTGATGAATTTGACCACCAGTTGACAAGGTCGCCATCCTTATCGTATTTTCGACCTGAAATAAGAAATATTTAGTTCTGAAACTCTGCCCATATGAAATCCTTCAAAAGTATCATCTTATACTGGCGTCGCATCCTATAACTTACCTTAGTGAGATTACCGTGCTATTCTTGATTAAACGAGGGTCTAAAAGTTGAACTTATTGAGGCCCCTAGCTAGGTAGTTACAGTTCGACTACTCGAATCGGGGCACCTGGGAGAAGATTATCCAATCACAACTTTTTTTTTGAAAACAAAAGATTCTCAAGTTTTTTTGCAAACGGACCAATAACATTCGTGAATTTCAGGGCTGTTTCCTGAGAGCTCGAGTAGGTTCAAACGGTTTTAAAGTTCTCAACGGTTACATAGTTGATCCTTGAGTTTTATTGGTCCGTTTGCAAAAAAGTTTTGAGAATCTTTTGTTTTCAAAAAACGTTGTGATTGGATAATCTTCTGCCAAGTGCCGCGGTTCGAGTAGTCGCACTGTAATTGTTAGGTAAAACGCTTTAGGTGCATTTAACGGTAATACGTGATGTAACATCGAATTAAAACTCTTGCTAGATTAAAGCAAAAAGGGGCCTGAAAAAACTGCAGACCAACGCCTGGTCAAACGTGACAGGTGGAGATGAACATCAGGTGCTATTTCGCTTAAACTTAAGTCCCAAAATAATAACGTCTGGAACCTACCGTTGCTATCAAATCCATGAGTAATTTCATGTGCAACCACAATTCCTATCCCACCGTAACTAATTGCGCTGTCAAAAAAGGAAGATAATTCAATCTGGCTGGTGTTATTTCGTATGGTTGACAAAGATTTCAGGTGCATAACAGTGTAATTGAGACGGAAATTGCTGTTGTATGAAATATCTATATGTCATAACTGTTCATCAGTAGGATGTTAAGATGTGTGATCAACAAATGACGAAAGAATTTCCGTTAAGCTGCGTAGCGCTTTAGAAAATAGAAGTAACAAAAATGTTCATTAAAAATAAAGAAATCATGAACAAAAGTGTCATGTTTAGGTTCAAGTTATCCTTTCCAAACGTTTCGAGGCTTGCAGTTCATCAGTGGAATTACCAGTTCGTTGAAACCGTTGCAAGGTTTATATCATGGATAACAGAAAGACTGGATAGGAAACTGGCTGACGCGATCGGTTCCAACATAGTGGAAAAATGTGACGTCACATTATCGAGAGCCATTCAACCTCATTCGACGTTTTGCGCGTCTTATTTTCCGCGCATATTTCACTATCTCTGTCTTCGACGATACATATGGGCCATGTTTTGAAGTAAAGGATGAAGAGGACTTGCTCTTGGAGAAGACAGTTAGAGGGTACAGAACCGGTAGAGGCAATAGACAGAGTAAATGATTATGAAACTTGTGAGAGCAACAAATGACTCCAGCGCTAGCCTGCGTAGCTGGCGGTGTTGTGTGGGTGCGAGATTGAAGTTTTGGCGACGGAGCCGTGTTCCAAAAAAAGGGAGTAGGACGAAGCGGTTGAAATACCACCTGCCAGAAAACCCCGGTATTTTGAATAGTCCGCACACCGGTGTGCGGAGAAACAGATTGGTCGAGGGCCATACATATGTCAATCATGTTAGATGATCCTTTGCATATATTTCCCAATTAATTAGTCTTTCTATTATCCATGGTTTATATTCGCCATAAATTAGAAATGAAAATTAAAGGCTTTGTAGTGCACGCGCGGCTCTGCGCGCGGCCTAGAGGAAACGGAAGTCGGAGTTTAAACCGCGCGGCTGAGTGGTGCCAAGTTGAAATACCAGTCGCATTTCCAGGCGCTTCCGTTGCGCGTTATCTACAGATAGCATCATTCCTCGAACCAAAGCGTCGTCGATTGAGTGAGCAGCCGTGTTAAAATGTTCAGCCAAAGGAAACCCCGGCAAGTTCTTTTCAATGATCCGAAGGTGTTCGCCAAAACGTTGTCTTAAAGTACGCCCTGTTTCGCCGATATAGACGGCAGGGCAACGGCGACAGGAGATGCAGTAGACCAAGCCAGACGTTTGGCAAGAGAACGCCTTCTTGATGACAAAAGAGTATTGAGGGCCACAGACACTAGTGCTAAGATGTGTACAATTCCACAATTGGTTTCGGCTCCACTAAACTGATCCTATACCAACTGTGGAATGTTTTAGAGGAGCCACCCACAATGTGAGCGGAGTAACTGACAAGGTCTATGAGTAGGAAAACAGTCTAAAGAAAACTAGATGCAGTGTGTTAAATAATGAACTAAATATACACGTCCATTAAATAAGTAACAGCTCAAGTGGATATAAGACCATACAGATATGTCCAGCAAATAGGGCGAATATTGATTCACCAATTTCTGGATGCCGGTTTTTTCGATGGATCCATGAACACCACATCAACAGAAAACTGTCATATTCCTGAAATGAATTGCAATCACCAAACGCTCGAATGAAATAATACTTAACCATCTAGAAACTTACCGTGGAAATTTTCTGCTGTAAAATGGAATTTGAAGTATTCCAGCGGGAAAAACTAAGAAAGTCATAAATCAAATGGTAAGACGCACTTCTTAAAATGTTTCACTGAGCGTTTTTTTTTTTGCCCGTTGTTCTTTTTTTTTTCTCTGAGATATAAATAGTGCGAATACTGTACCGGGGCTTCTTCGAGAAAGTTGACCAATTGGATTACAGGAAAATAACAAATGTCGCCCCCACTCAAAAGTAAAAAGGTCAAATTGTAGAGCATATGGGGTTCTGCAGTTACTGTCGCATCGCACAAGGTCTGGTCAGTCAGTCACCGATCTACAATAGCTGTTTTACTTATATCCTATAGGATACGACTGATACTCACTGATTTTGTTAGTTACTCTGTCATAGAAGGCATTTACCGTATGTGGGTGAATCATCCACCTAAGTGTAATCGGAAAACATGAGTTAAATGCTGTATGTTTTAACGCTGTTTCATTACAATAATTATGGAGCTGCCACTTTTGCTTTTTTGGGTCTAAAATTTGGGAAACCATTCCCTCCGAAAACTCTATCTTATAACGACTTCTATTGGCAATATAAATTTCATCTTTTTGAAAAAATACCCACTAGAAAAGATTTGACTTCTCTTTCCAAACTACCAATGATCATTTCTCTTTGTATTAAATCGTTCGAACAACGTTTGCACTTTTAAGTTTCCTTCCTCCTTTGTACGTTTCTTGTAGCTTTATGTAAATGTCTACGCCAGTTAGTGCTACTCGTGGCAGTGACCAACTCGAAAGCCTAAGCTCCTTTGGTCTGTGACTGCGCACATTTCACATTAATTTTTATGATTTATCTGATTTGTTTTTCCATTTGTTAAGGCTAGAAAATCAATGTTTCAAAATGAAATAACGTCAGCTAACGACAAGGCAAGTACCTGCAAGAGTCTTATAGTAGCAGTAGCCAGTAATCAGTCGAAAGCTTGACAAAGCAATTATTTGCTGATTAATACTTTAAACACTCCTACCTTCCTTTGTCAACAGGTTTGCGTAGATCTTGTAACATGGCCTTGACAGAAAATGCTCGATTGTTTATCACGTTATTAAAATAAGATCCATTTGTTACTGTAAGCTGAAACAAAACATCAGTAAATAAACTATCATGAAGTAAGATAAAATAAAATGCAATAATGAATTGATTTTCAATTAGTTCAACTGGAAGAGAGTGAAAGGAAGCAAATTGAAGAATAAAATGGAAATGACGAAGAAAGTAAGTTTCGGTAGAGATAAATGACAAGGAAACGTGAACCTAAAACTAAGGTCCACAGGATAATGGGTGTTAAACAAAATTGGGCTAGTAATAACTGAGACAGACTCGTCTAAACACAAAAAGATACTGAATCACCTACTTTCCTTAATGAACGAGTTACTTACGTCTTTAAATCGAGCTGTTAACTTGCTTTGATTTTTAAGATACTCTGGGTAACCGATATTTTGCCTGATGGCAGCAGCCTGAAAGTATACAGTGAATTGATGGTAACAAGTTATTCGTCAGAATTAGTATGGTGACGCTGGGTTTTAAGCTACAACCTCGGACAAAACCTGCTGAGACACATCGCAAAAGTACCTATTTTCCCATGTCATTCCGGCAAAAATGGAAACGGTGGTCAAATGAATGCCCGGTTTCCCCCCACCCGTTATCCTTTTTTTTAGGATAACATCACAATTATACACTTTAGTGCCATATTTTTTGTTTAGAGGAGATGGCACTATCATGCGCAAAAGTTAGAAATACATGGAACGGTCTCAACAAGCTGTGGTTTTAATACCTTTTCTTTGGCATATGTCTTTGTATTAGTGTCCATCCAATCCAGGTGATCAATGCTACTAATAAATGTATCTCGCAGATCGTTTATCATAGACATAACCTGAAATCACAAATGTACTACCACGGGTTATATGAAACAGTTAGTTTCAGTGGGATTTTGGATTTTTTTGAACATAACACAAGATCAGAGAAGCAAATAAAATGCAAAAACTTTGAACTCAAAATGTAACGTCAACTCCAACAGTAACAACTTCTTATACGGTTTTTTAAGCAAGCAACTTCTTTCATTAAATCGAAATCTAACATTGCAAAAGGTCACATGATGTAAAAAGATGATCTTCGGATGCAAAATAGGAAAACACTTGAAAATAATACCCATCATCTTAAACTGATTTATTCGATTAAATTTTGCTTAATGTAGTCAAACCAGTCAAACGTCCAGGCAGACCATAACGGTCTTCTGATGCAAACGTCAGAAATTATATCATTTAGATACTTCATCCACGAACCTAAGTAACAAGGGAATAGATCCCCACTAACATATTGTGCTTTTCTTGAACTAATTCCCTGCACTTCATTTTTACTATTCGAATTCTTATGACTATGGCACAATTGTAAACCAAGCTCAAGATTTATTGTGAAGAATCTACCCAAAATCTGGATTTTATAGATTCAAGCGGTACATTTTCTGTTCTTCTCTGTGGGTTAATAAAAAAATCGAGCTTCTGTTTTTTGACCTATGCCGTCCCTAGGACTTTTCCCTTCTTGAAGCCCCATATAGCCCTGGCTTCTTTTCCCGCAACAGGAAAAGTCTCTCATGAAACATGCTTCTCATCGTAATTTCTGGTTTATTGCTCGATGAAGAATATAAATAGTGTATATCAGTAAAAATATTTCAGTTCATAAATATCTACATTGGAAGCCTCTGATCTGGTCTCTAACCAGAATATGCAGAGATAGAGACTGAGCAGTTTAATTTTAGACAAACGAAGGCCAATTAATTCAAATGTTTTGATGCATTTCACAATTATAGTGTGTTACGTTTGCGTTTAAATCTTGATACAATCAGTTCCGTTATAAGTAACATTACTCACATTTCGCACATTTTGCAGTGTAACAAGGCCACACTCGTTTCTTAAAGTCCACATACACAAACCTCGGCTTTGTGTTACGTGTCCTCCTTCGTTAACTTTCCAAATTCCTGTTTCTAAATGTTAAGGTTTAAGGTGGCTCCGTCATTAATACAAGCGCATTTAGCTGTGAAAAAGTTTTCGCCATAACGTTTTTGTTTTTAACGCGATGGCTGAGAAACTTCCCAAAGAATAGCAGATATAATTGGCAATAGTACGAAATATTCCGATTTCGTTGATGGTAAATATATTTTGCTAAATTAGCGCCTAAAAGGACCCTACTATTCAAAGAAAATTGCGTCTAGTAAAAAAATTTGCTGATATTTTTTACTGAAATTTCTGGTATCAGTACAGTTTTAATTGATATAATAAATATGCCAGAGGAATTTCAGAAAAATCGTTGTAGCAGAAGTGCGTAACTAAAAGTCGGTCAAAATTTAGCTGTTAAATTGTTTTGGAATTTCAAGAATAAATTACTGTCGAGTAGAAGGAGACACCAGTTTGAATTTTCGGGGCAAGTAAATTCAATGTCTGCTAATTCTTAAGACAAAAGCCGATTGCCTATCGTGCTATTCTTTAAAAGGTACTTTTTAGTTTTAGAAGTATTATAAATTGCTCCAAACCTAGCTCTGAAGTAGCATGACTTGTTTCTTGACATTTTTAAAATATCCCTTGGCAGTTTTGGCTCAAACTCCTGCTACATACATTTTAATGTATGGCAATGCATTTTCAACGACTTTTACTGCTGTTCGTTGCTTCCAACTCAGGAAAAAGGTATTGAGATTGAACGCTACCTCGTATCAAGGCTCAGAGAGAACTGTCCAGAACCTTTGTTTATGACTACAAAATGAGCACGAGTGGCAGTTCTGCAAAGAATTCGCACCTCACCCACGGAGGACGAACGACAATGATGCCCATGTCTTTGAACCGAATTACATCACAGTACAAAATAAAATTATCGCACAAATACTGCCGGTGAATATATGAATTTACAATTCTGAAATTTTTGTCACTCCTTCCTTCAATGAATGGCTAGTTTTTTCTTGATTATTACGTTTTGCTCTGCAATACATGTTTATACAGATCGGTTCGCAGACATGGGCATCACTGCCATTCGTCCCCTCTGGCTGAGGTGCGAATTCCTCACAGAGCTGCCGCTCGCGCTCATTTTCCGGTCATAAACAAAGGTGCTGAACAGTTCTATCTGCGCTTCGATACAAGGTAGCTTACAATCCCAATACCCTTTTCCTGAATTGGAAGCAAAATTACAGCAGGAAAAGCCATTGCAATACATCAAAATGTATGTAGCAGGAGTTTAAACCAAAACTGCCAAGGGATATTATAAAAATGTCGAGGACGAAGTCATTTAACTTCAGAGCAAGGTTTGGAGCAATTTATAGTACTTCTAAAACTAAAAAGTACCTTTTAAAGAATAGCACGATAGCCAATCGGCAATCGGCATATTTATTGTATCAATAAAAGCCGATACCAGAAATTTCAGTAAAAAATATCAGCAAAATTTTTTGATAGACGCGATTTTCTTTGAACAGTAGGGTCCTTTTAAGCGCTAATTTCTCAAGAAATATTTACCATCAGTGAAATCGGAATAGTTCACATTATTACCTAATGACTTCCGTTGTTCTTTGGAAAGTTTCGCAGCCATCGCGCTAAAAACGAAAAAGTTATGACGGAAAATTTGTCACAGCTAAATGCTCTAGTATAAATTACGAAGCCACCTTAAAAGATTTAAAAATTTATCGCCAGAAGTCTAGCTTCAATCCTCAAAACCCTCCTCAAATGAGTTACCGCCGGTCCTCAGAATAACGTACCGTAACAACCTCATATTATCACCTTTGAGTAACTGCTTACCGAATCTTTGTCCTTCTTGTCAAACTTCTCATCAAGGAAAATAACCCCTAAAGGATCTCCTATCTCGTTGTCATAGTGACTCATTTCCGTGATGCATTTCTGCCAAATGTTGGTCTCTCCCGTACCACCAGTAACAACTTGACGGAAGTCTGAGAAAACCTTGCGGTACTCACTGCTCAGATACGGGGCTAATTGAACCACCGCCTGCCACATCATGTAGTTAGCAAGAACTCTGAAAAAAACAATTTATCGATTAAACCAAATCTACCATGAAATTTGCGAAACTGACCTTGTTTATTTCGTTACTATAAACCAATGTAGTTGATAAAATGACTAATAATCAAAATTTTTGCAAACCTCTCTGATGTGACGGATGTCAAATTGGCTATACTGATTAAATAATCCAAGGCAAATATGGCGATTTTTTCGTCTTCGTTTATCTCATAGCTGCTATCTCGAAACATCGCTTTGAAGAAATCCAGCCAGTTAATCTGGGTAGCAAAAATGAGGAAACTTTTATTAGTCTATAATTATCTGACCATACTGTTGACATCCGCATCAAAGGGTCTCTCTCCTCCGCAGAGGCCTCTGATATTTTGATGGGGATACCCAGCGGGAGCCTCTGCGGAGGAGAGAGAGAGTCCGTCAAGAACAAGACGCTATGGAGCGTACACTCCGGCGTCGTGGTTGTGGAACTGATTAATTGTAAATGCGGAAGAATAGTAAGAAATGAAATAGGGTAAGGGTAAGGTGTTAATTTGTGAAATTATGGGATTTGTCAGGATATTCTGAAAAGAGCAATGTCCAAGAGGCCTACTTGCCAAAACTAGCATTTCGGGGCAAATTGTCTCTGAGATATTAGCACAGTTATGCTCTAATGACTCCATACAAATCCTTCTAAATTTGACTTGGGTGTAAACGTTTTGACCTGAGTCAAATGTGAGGTTACTGGCGGTGAATAACAAGTCTTAAAAAACAAACAGTGAAAAAAGAATTCTCTATTTTTCTTACATCAGGCTTCAAAAACAGCATAGCAGTCTCATGTACTGATTAAAGATATGTATGGCATGGGTAAGGAGTCAATTACGTTGAGAATGGAATTGGCTAAAACTCAATGTTACGAGTTCGATGTTTTGAGGATAATTATTCACTGAATATCAGCACGTAGGGATGTCGGATTAACACTAGGAAGATTAATACCAAAAAAACATAGTCTTTACAGAGCTTTAAAACACAGCATCCACCAACACAAACTTGACTTGAACATAAGTAGAACTAAACAGCTTCTGCCAATAATAACAAACTCTCAATTGAACTTCAGATATCTTACGGCTTCCGCCAACTTGTAAATGCAGAACTTGAAAATCGACCATCGTCACACTTGACTAAACACAGCACTCCAGCTCGTAGGAAAAAACTTAGGTCGCCAAAAAAACTCACTTGGAACTTGTATACCGTTTGACATAAAGTTCTAGAAAATACTAAACAGGCGAATAGTAGTAGCTTTCGACATATTTTATGATTTCAGTAACTGATGCAAATCTGCTGACTCATGCTGAAATGTAAACATGCCCTATTAATTATTCATGAATAATCCAAAAACGTAGAGAACGTACGAGAAAGTCACGCAACGCATGAACGCAATTTTACTACGTAACACTCAACAAAGACAAAACGTCTTTCTGCAGCATTTTGTAACTTTAAATTCATCATAAAACAGTTCGAAAGGAACGCTCACTCGTGAAATGTTTTTCAACACTCGAAGAGAAATTTCGTGTCTCTGCGCGGCCATGTAATATCCTTTATTTATTCCACGGGTAGCCCAAGCTCGAAATATGAGCATCGGCGAGCATCGGCATTGTTGCGTAACATTCAAAATGTAGGGATTTGTGAAGGTTTATCTTTATGTAGAGAGAAAACCGTTTACATAAAAACCCATAAAACGGCCATAAATCGGCCCGTGGACCACACAGGAGAGACGTAACACACATTTTAAGTAAAGTAATCTGTTTTTTATTGAAATCCTTTCATTTTCGTAGGTTTCAGAAACGAGGTTTTTTCCCATATAAATCCTTATATTTTGAATGTTACGCAACAATGCCGATGCTCGCCGATGCTCATATTTCGAGCTTGGGCTACCTGTGTTTATTCCTGGAGTAAATCAAAGAGGAAACTCGAAGTGATCTCAAGATATCATGAAGTAGTCCGGTCTCATTTCGTGAAATAGCCGAAACAAGCCGAAAAGTCATGAACTTGCGAGCCCAATCTTGTCCCGAAACTAGCGCATAATTTCATAGCTATTTTTTCACATTCCGAACTAACTTGGATCGCAGTAGCGCAATCGTTTAATCCCTAAACTTAGAGTCTCCTCTGATCTGACAGGTCACACAGGTGAGTCGGTTCAAACCCTGGGAAAGCCAAAATACTAATTCTTTCTTCCTCGAATAGGTTAAAGAATAAATCAAAGAAATCGAAGTGATCTCGAGACATCTCGAACTACTTCAGCTCTCACTTCGTCAAATAGCCGAATAAAACCGACAACCTACAGACTTAACGTGCCCAATCTTGTCCCAAAAATGTCAACTTTGATACATTCCTGAGCGTCGCGAATCCTTTACTTCGCGCTCCGCCGAAGTAACAAATAACCAATAAGCTTTTCCAATTAGTAGTTAACAATCCATTCAGTAAGATTCACGGTCTGTTACCAAAAAAGTGCAGCAGGCCAACTTGTAATTTAAAGAGACAGAAGATTTTCGACCCACACAAAACTAAAACAAAGAGATTTGCGGACACTTTTATCAACAAGAATAGCTCCATGGTAATATATTCATGACCTGCAGTTTAAATTTTAAGGTTTTTATTACACTGTAATGATTAGTTTTGTAGTATATGTATTTATAAGGATGTTGTTAGATTAGTAAAGTTGCGCAATTCAGTTCATTCTGCAAAGTGTGTTAATAAAACCCAGTCTATCTCTCTCTCTGAAGACTTTTCGCTAAATATGTATACTTTTGGCTTCCGCTTTTAGAAAACATTCTGGCGCAGGTAAATATCCAGTTCCAAAGCTGTCCTTGTAACTTACATAAAGATGACCGCCAATGATTTGGCCAATGAGTCTTACTAACTCAGTATAGTTCGTTGGTTTTTCTCGTATCCTTATTTTTGCTCACAGTTTGGACCGTCAATTTGTTATAAGGATGATAAGGGAACGAGTGTTGAAACCGATTCATCCATATTACAATTGTAAGAAATAGAAAGACTTATAGTAGAAATTACTTCTCGTAGCTCAACCCCAAGGACTTATCCGGCCGGTTTACCTTTCCAGCTGTTTTTTCCTCAAGTTCTTTTACAGTCATTAGCTTGTACAGTTTACTTTTATCAGCTCTCTCATCAGCAGTCGCTGATAACTGTGGATGATAAGAAAATATGGTCAACTGATAGATTTACTAAACTGGTTCTTCGTCTGTTGCTGCTGTTAATTAGTAACTATAATTTATCCTTAAGGGACCAGGGAACCCAAAATGTTGAGAGGATTTAATAGTCGCTTACGGTAGGTAGTGGAAAACAAAAATCGAACCACGGGAGTTCCCTTCAGTAATAGGAGATGTCCGAATGCATCTTCCTTTTACAAGAGAATTCGTTGCATGAAATTTCTAATCAACGATGTGAAGTTTCACCTTGTCACATACTTCGTCGCATAGTTTGAGTAGTGTACTACATACGGCAAACGTACAGATCCAAAAAATGGCTCAAGTGGTCGCTTACAATAGGATAAAAATAACGAAAAATTCCACAAATATGGTTCTAACTGCAATACAATGATTTAACTGAGAAAATTTTGTGTTTTGATGGGTGGTCGCAGTGGGGACATGGTCGTTTGTTTTTTACGTGGTCGTACATGGATGTTAGACTACTTTGATGTAATGTGTGCAAACCAAAACCTCTGACACTAGACATCGAAATAGTACTTATAAAAGGCCATTTTTGCTGTTTCAACGTGGCAACCGACTACTAATGGACATAGAGTACATGTTTTGTAATACAAAAATGCAACAAATCATCAGCATCACTCAATCAACAAACTTGAATAAAATTCATCTTGGCTTGGATGGGGTCTTGGCAGTTAGAAATTTGGCCAATTCTAACAGGTCATTTTTTTTACCTTCGACTGCTCCCTGGAAATTGAGGAATGACCTTAATCAACCGGTCAAACACATCAATCTGACGCTTACTCTATAGATGCGTGCACGCGCATCTGTTAATTTAGTTAAATTAAGGAATCTTTTTAACAGAAAGCTGAGATTTGAGATTAAAAAGCAATCTGATGATCGCTTAGAAATAAGCCTGAATCTGACTAAAAGATTTACTACCGTAAATCCTCTATCAAGCCCCCCTCTCAAACATGCCCCCCTCTCTCTAATAAGCCCCCCTCCTCTCCCCCTTGTTATTCTTCACTAATAAATGAAGAATATTCATATTACATTTTTACTTGATAATGACGTCCGATAACGTCGCAACGTCGTATATTTTTAAACTTTTTTAAAAATTTCTTAAATGTTTTTAAGAAAAAATTTTTCGCAATTTTTTATAGCTAAATGTTTTAAGAAGTCGCTTCTTTTTAATAAATGATAGACTGTATTAATCAATCAGGACAGACTGTAGAACTTCTTTGGAGATCCAGGATGGTTTATTTACCAACTGGAAGTTCGGATTTGTTTTTGATCCTCGGCTGCATGACCTCCAACTTCTTGTAATTGAGCTTTTTTACTTTGTATTATGGTTCTTTATGGAGAACTAATAGAGTGTATCATCGTCTTTACTAAATTAGATAAGCCTCTCCTCTCAAATTAGCCCCCTGTCTCTATTACGCCCTCGCAAGTCCTTTCATCTTATCCGATTGCAAATTACAAGAAATGTAACTCACCTGAGCAATTTTTTGTTCAAATTCAAACACCTCTGTCAGCGGCTGGGTGATTGTTTGTAGATCTCCTCCTAACAAACTCACCAATTCCAACATAAGTTTACGATAAGCGTTTCTTACCTGGTAAAAATAAATAAAAATAGTGCCACATTCGCATTCCTATAAAACACTTTGTTTGCCCCCCCCGCCCTCCCACTCTCCCCACCAAACAAATTAATATACAAATTTCATAACCATTCTTTCGAATTTCTCATGAGTAATTTACAATCTTCCAGTTATTATGCAAAATTTAGGGGCCATTAACATTTGTAAGCCCCGTTTATATGGAAAAAAAGTCGTCGCGGAAAAGGCCGAGACAGCTTTAGCGAGCGTTTATAAGAGAAAAAAGTTGACCCTTTTCCTGAGCCAACAGTTGTCGTACATACTCCGATTGTCTAAAATAGCGCTTACGCATGTCCAGATGGTCTCGCCTTGACCGAGTTGACTGGGAAAGAGAAAATTTGCTCGGCTAGAATGGTATAGGGTCACCGTTCTAGCTATATAAACACTTTGACACGCCCAGCCATGTCAACTCGATCAAGGTGAGACAGTCACAAAATGCGAGGGAGCTTTGGCCCGGGCTAAGGGGTCAGCTTTTTCTAAGTGAGATGATAGCTAAAGTTGACTTGACTGGGAGGATTACCCTCTTACCCGGGACAACGAATGGACGCTCAGCAGAATTTTCTGAACTTTGTAACTGTTTCCATCAGTTTCGTTAAGTACAGGGTTTTGTGATTTTTTTGGCAGTGAAAAACTGATCTTTTCCCACAACTTCGTAGGTGGAGTGGAACCGAAAATATATCAAAACTTATCAATATCCGCTACATGCAGGTAGGATGTTTTTAAATTAAGAAAAAAAAACCATCATATCCTCATTTTACGACTTCATTCTTAGTAAATGACAATGACAACGATTTGTAAGCAAAGAATCTCCTCTTTTCCCTTACATTCCGGCATACATGTCATAACGGCTTCTTCACTAATACTCACGAGTGAGTGATAGCTGGTATTAGCCAAGTATGCATCTCTTGTAATGGTATTAGAGGTCTGGTCTAACTGCAAAGAAATGAAAGACAATGCTTGTATACTTATGCAAATTATTGGGCGTGGAAGGGGGGGGGGGGCAAACAAGGTGTATTATACTCTAATATAATTTCATTATTTTTTCATGTTTTTTGGGAATGAAAAAAGCAAAAGTCGTTTTACACCGCAACGTTTCAGTGTCGTCACTCAACATTTTCACCTAGACCATAATGCACGTTATTTACTTCCCAAAATTTTGCATAACTATTGTCTTCGATTTCTCTTGGGACGAATGTAATACCAGGAGAAATTGGAAACAACACAACGTTTCGGTGTCGACACAAGTTCACCATTTTCAAGTAGACAATAATGCACATTGATTACCTCCCAAAATTTGTTTCTTTTGTTGAACTATTTATTGTAGACGCAAAGCCAATACGTATTTAATATATGCGTTTTTACGTAACAAGTGTGAACGTGATCTAACTAAATACCTTACCATGATGATGTAACGCGACGAAAGTGTCAGATCTGGCTCCACATTCAATTTGAACAATGGTGAAGTTTTGAGATCCTTGTGCATGCGAACTAAGAATTCCATAAAATTCCACGAATCGGTCGTCCATGTCTTGTTTGTTATGTTCCACGATCCATACTTTTCCACTAGATTTACAAGAGGTGATCCCCTTGCACTCTCGATAAGCTCATAGTTTGTGCATGAATCGTAATACCGGAATGCCTTCTGCACAGCATCGTTCTAATAAGAGAGAAACAAGTTTCAAACTTGATTTCAATGGCTTTTTTAAAACAATGAACCCATTTTAATAGAAAATTGTCGAAGTGCATTTTACCGGCAGCATTATGGTCGGACAGAAGTCCTATGGAGAATGACGTAGCGCTTGTAAGTATCCCCTGTAATTGCAACATAACTTAGTTACCGATTCCGATAGCTGCTCCAAACTGGTCTCTGCACACTGTTTTAACTTTCTACCGATAATTATTTCTACCCTAACTCGCAATTACACATTATTTGCCATCAAACCTTAACTAAGTACATGTATATTCAAATCTTCAATGGTAAAAAATGAAAGTTCTAGTTTTAAATCACTTAGTAAATTTACAAAAACATGTCCCATTCTAGTGGGGTCAGACTCCATGGATTCGCCGCCGCTACCACAGTAAGAAAAATTTAAACGAGCAAATCTAGACAGCCAAGCAGCAGCTCACCTTCTCGTATTTTTTCCTAATTTGAAGATCATCAAGTAGAGTCTTTAAAAGCTGGTCATTTCTGGTTTTCAAAATAAGCACTTGACTCCATTTTGGCTCGTTCGATGGAATAGGATTGTTTTTGATCCAGCCGCCACACGCGTGCAAAAAAAAGTCCTCGCATGGATCCACATTCTTGTCAACAGTTCGTAAAATATCTATGAAGTAAGCAAAACTAAGTCAGTTGTGTAGGCATTAAAGTCGCCTTTGGGAGAATGAGGCGGATCGAAAGAAGCAATGTCTACTATACGTATTCACTTAGTAGAGATTTCACTGAGGCTTAAAGGAAGTGATTGAAATGTACTCATAGCATGGGCGCGTAGGAGCAAACATCTAGCATCAAACTACCCGCCCCTAACTTGTGCGTTGGTAAATTGGGGCCAAGATAGGCGTATCCTCCCCCGCCCGGGTAGCCAATCAGAGCACAGGATTCGCTTTATCTTGCCCCAGTACGATGGCAGCCGTTAAAGATGAAGTCTAGCAAAGAGGGCAACGGCCACGAAAAATTTAAAAAGAGCAGTTCGTCTGGTACTTTATCAGAATAACAAACTCCTCTGGCGTATCTCACTTTGTTAGATTTCTTTGCCGTAACTGCACAATTACGACGTGTAATTCTCTTTTGCGACGTCTTATTGAGGACGTAACAGGATGATGAATTTTTCTTTTTTCTTTAAAACTTGGATTCGGTCCAAAAATACCCTGTGAGCAGTGGTTTCTCCTGGCCAGACGCTACGCTTCGAAGGGAGAGAAACCACTGTGAACAACCGTTTCCATCGAGCATGCGCGACCACGTGACGCCTACGTCACCTGAATGACATCACTAGAAACAATAGAGAGCCACATCACTGAAGGTTTCAGCAAGAGCAGTAAGGAATGTAGAAGAGCATTAATCGCCATTCAATAATCTTTGGAAAGTGCACCCCGGCCCGGGATGGCGGGGTTGTAACATTGCATATAAAGGAGGGCTATTTTTTTACGCCACCTACGCGGGTTACTTCACCTACCTACGGTCCCCCACCTCCATGTAAACAGGCCCTAAATAAGCATCGACGAAATTTTATTTCTCTATCTGACCCTGGATATGGTCCCTAATATTTCAACTCTAGTTTGGTTCGTCTACATTTGACAAAGTAAGTGGGTACGAATAATTGCGATAAAGACTGAAAGAGCGCAAATTCATAGCAGGCTCGCCTTAAGGCAGCAGTTATAAGCGTAAGAAAATGCCCGAGAGCCTTAACTTGTTTTTTAACAAAGATAAGTTGTTCGTCTATGGCGCTGAACGGAGGTTTGATCAAAGAAGGAAACGGTTGTGCAGACAGTGGTTTCTCTCTTTTCGTAGCGTAGCGTCCTGCTTGGAGAAACCACAGCTCGCAGCGTACTCCAAAAAGCGTTGGTGACTGCAAAAATGCCCAAACTGGAACAAATATTCAAGTATTTGAGTGCCACAGAAGGAGAGTTTGTTGCCTTTCTTTATTGTATCAAATTAGGGTAACCTCAGTGCAGTTGCTTATTCAGGGGTGTACCACCCTGTAAGTGCCAACGAGGTGAATTCTTTTGTATTTTATGGAATGTGAATAATGGTTTTTCGCGATTTGTTTCATAATTTTGGAGGTCTAAAACTGATTTCGCTGTAGAAAAGGACGGCTAATAAATTTCACCAAAGTTTGAAACAAACTAGGCTTTCACTTTTATTAAACAATAACAACATGGTTTGAAGCTTTGTTGGTAAATTGGAGCAAGTTAGCTAGACAAGTATGTTTCATGGAAAATTTCATTGTATCAAAATACTATAAACTATAGACAGTAAAATATTTTTCGAGTCAGGCCTTTAACTGCTGTAAAAAACAAAAATTGACGATTCCGAGCCTTCGCCCAACAGCATCACCAGGGATAAAAAAAAAAAATTCGCATGGTGTTATACACATGAACAAATTAATTAACGTAAATCCGGCAAAATGTGTGAAAAGCGTAAGAATGGGGGGAAGAATGTATGAGAAGTGTAAAAATATAGACTTGAATGAAATACAAAGATCTAATGAGTGAGTGTCACAGGACCAAGAATTTCTCGAAAGGCGTAAAGATAGCCTCCAAAACAAAAGGTCCACAAATTCGTTGCATTCCTCACAGGAGGTGAGGACTGGCTCAATGTAAATCGAACTGAGAAAAAAAGGCTGGTTCCGATAACACTTTGAGCGTGTAACCCTATTCCTTGATCAGTTACCGCTTAAAATTCAATTAACAAAGGAAAAGATAACATTGAAATCTCAGGTTCTGAGTAGAGAATCAAACACGCTGGCACAGTGTAAATAGAGCTGCAAAGGACATGCTGGTTCTGACAAAAATGTGAGCTTACAGAGGGGCGTAGCGACCATATACGCACGTGCGCACGTACGTACCTCAAAAGTCTAAAAAAAAATTTATTTATTTATTTGACTTATTTATTTATTTATAGGCTCTTTGGCGCAAAGCGACCTTTACACCTGCAAGAGTTTTCTCTTGAATTGCTGCTATTTTACAAAACGTAAACTTTGCGCATATTGCATTATTCATTTTGATGTGCATGAGTTCAAAACCCTGTCATCACAACCACAGTAACAAAATGAAAAGACAAAAATAAAATGGATCGAGATCCGCGAATGGAAATTCAAAGACTTGACCTTTTGACCCCTTGAAGTCATTTTCTTCCTTTTCTGAGAGGTCCACAAAAGAATTTGACCAGATTTGACGGCAACGTAAAACGCAGTCATTTCGGGGCAGAACTTATGTGTTCATGAGGTGTTTAAGGTGCTCGGTTCAGTAAGTCTGTTCAGTTGACATTTGAATGAAGGAATTAAATGGCAGAGAGATCAACGAGCGACTTCTTTAGTCGGAGTATGATTAACAAGGTCAATAGAGCGGAGGCAACAGAAGGTAAGTACCTTTTTGAAATTTAATCAAATGATATTGAAAAAACAGTTTTTTAGCCTTCTAGAATTCTCGATTTAACAGAAGTGGACGTGATTTTTCGTTGTCATTTTTGCTTTAAGAAAAAAAGTTATGATATAAAGAAAGAGAAACACAACTCTGGTCGAGCGGACAGTTGAGCACACAACCCCCAGTTCTATCCAGTGATATATGTCGCTCATGTCCTATCCTCTGTCAACCTGCGCTGCCGAAGGCAGTTTTAGCGGCATGATGAGACTGACAAACCCCTCATCGAAGCACTATGAGTGAGCTGGTGCTTTCCTCTTTGGCAATCCTCCATATGCACAAGCATAAGCGTGTGGATATTGACAAAGTAGTCTTATTTGTTTCAGTCATTCAACACTGTATTTCTCCCTGAGACTGAATTTCTGTTAGATTTATAGTATGTGATTAAATCTAAGCATACAATTTGACAATATGCCAACTGAATATGAATTTTTGAAGTTAATCAAGAGAAGACTCTCTTGAAACAAAAAGACAGTTACTGTTTTATTTTTTCCGTAGTTGTCGATGTCCTCTCTCTCTCCCTCTCTCTCCCTCCCCCCCTCTCTCTCTCTCTTTCTCCCCTTCTCTCTCTTTCTCTCTCTCTCTCTCTCTCTCGCTGGTGCTTTATTCATAAATAATTTCATTACTATAAGAATGAAAGACCTGTTCTTTCATTCTTTGACTTCATTCGATTCTTTGATTCATTCGTTCATGAAATCAAAGGTAGTTGTTACAGTAACGGGCTTTAAGTTGAGGACTTAGGCTAATAAAATTAGAGGTTATTTTTTCGTACAGTCTTGCATTTTTCCAATTCAGACCGATCAACTGACGTGTTTAAGAGTCTGTCGATCTCTAGTCAAATAAATACATAATCCCATTGTCCCATTCAGGGCTTTCAGAAGTGCATCAGATCGCATAATCTGATACTGCAATAATACTTGAGTCTTAACTCTGGCTTTCTTTTTCATGGACGGTAAAAATAGCGAAATACGCCGTAGCAATTTTCGCAAGTGCTGGGGTATTTCGCTTGCCTTCAGCCATTGCTAAGGAATATGATGAACTACTCGTAGTCTAGAGCAAATGATGTCGGTGATTGTTACACAATAGTATTATTGAACCTGAATTGATTACTTACCCACCGCTGCAAAAAGACAATCTTGAGTGTTACAGAAAGATTTGATGGTTTCCTGTTCAGATTTCTGTGCGAATTTCTGTCGTGTTGCTAAAACTGTACTTGCTATTAAAAGTGCGAGACACAGAGCCGAAAGAAACACGACTGCAAAGATCAGCTTTTTCTCCTTGGAAGAAAGCTTTGAGCTGTTTAAAGTGACTCTGACAGGTCTGGGTTCGTTAGCAACATTGTCTGCATTAGCTGTTCGCAGCTTAAAGTAATCATTAACCGTGGTTAAATTGGTAAGTGATCCTGAGTCTTTCCACATGATTTTGGTCTGGACTCACTGCTTATTAGACAAGCACTTATGTTTCAGTTAAAACAATAGTAACTGTAGGTGCTCGAAGAGAAATTTAAAAGTTTGGTCCCTATGATTATATGGTCAATAAATGCAAATTTTTGGACGTATTTACTAGCGAACAGAATAAAACACTGTCTCCAAGGGGGTTAATTAGGATGAGTTCTTACGCTACGAAGAAAACAATCATTGCATAAATATTTTTATCAATGACAAGAACACTGAACACATTCAGGGATTTGCAACATGGTATCTCAAATGTGCCTCCAGCACTTCTATGTAACATATCTGGTATCGCACGTAGTTAACATGGACTTAATTGAACTGTAACGGACAACGAGTTTTACTCTTGAATGGTTATGTTAATTTAAGGCTTAAAGACCTTGAAGAGGCCTTATATGAAAAGGAACTGCACTGGAGGATGAGTAAGAAAATGCCTCAAGGTCAACACGTAAACTGGGAGAGCTCTTACTCTTTTCCCCCTGGCAGTTTCTTTCACTGCTTTGGGCTCTAACCAAACCACTTTAAACTAATCTTTGCGGGTTGAGGGGTTGCGAGTCACGGGTATACAGCGCGGGACAAAGGGATATGCTTTCAACATAACTCCCTGAAGTGAGTAACGGCTTGTAGTCCACCATATTACCCCGCCAAAAAAGAACCTTGAATAAAGGAGATAACGTAAATAACGCGAATACCAGCTGAGCTTTTGCTCGCATTCCCCACACACGTAGGCTTACTCTGGGACCATAAGTCAGGCGACTTTAGGCGACTTAAGGAAAATTCACTCAGAATGTTAGGCGATTTAAGGAGACTTTAGGCGATTTGACGTGCCTTTAGACAACTTTAGACGATTTAAGGTGACCTAAGGCAAATCAAATGTAAGTATTTGGAGAGTGATTTTACTTGAACCGTGAAACAGATACTAACAAATAGTGCAAAATAGCGAGAGGTAAACAAAAGAAGACAATAGTATTGGTGAATAATAGAGTGTAGTATTCTACTACCTATTTCACGGTTCAAGTAAAATCACTCTATAATAGCCCACGTTCGAAATAATAAAAATTCTAACATGACTCCGAGGCTTTAAGGTCAAAGTTTCAAAATTTGTACGACTCTACTAGTATAGTATTGATGCTATCTTAAATTTTGAACTATAAATATCCACGTTGTTGGTTTACACGTTAAAGATCACCGTTGTTATGGCTACATGATAAATCGTGCTTTTCGAAGCCAAAAAATATGTTTTAGAGTGAAATGGTTTGGTATTTCACTGGCGTTAAAGAGAACATTACATGGCCGCTTGGAGATATGAAATTTCTCTTTTCGTGTTGAAAAATATTTCACTAGTTTTGCATAATATTTTAAACACTTAAAGAGAAATTTCTTATTTCCGTGCGGCCATATGTTACACACATGTCACTGAGTTACTTGCTACTGTTTTCAATGCAACTATGTTATGTTTTAAACACAAAGAGCAGTGTTTTATCCGCGCTGAAATTTTTAGCCAGTGACAAAAAACGTGCTGTAAGTGTTTTGGAAAGCATCAAAAACGTCCCCGGAGTATTTCTTATCAATTGGGTTGCTAAATAAAGCAATAATTCTCTTTTTTTGGGACATTTTAAAACGTGCTGATTGAAAAATATCGAACAAAAGCAGCCAAAATAAAACATGTTGGACAGACATAGTTACAAAAATATTTGTACAACTGAAGTACACCGTTAAAGAGTTCACCTGCTTTTACAATACAGCTGCATCCAAATGAAACAAATTTCAATTAATAATATCTTCACCAGAGGAAAGAAAAGCCGGAGGAGAATCCAACAGACCATTTTCCCTATATTAAAATTCATACTTGGCACCGAGGCTTGGGGGAATAAAACAAAAGAAATGTATCATTAATCATTGCTAAGCCTCAACTGTGATGATTTCAGTTTTGTTTTATTCCCACAAATCTCGGAACCAAGTAAGAATTTTGATGTGTCGAAAATGGTCTATGCAACGTGACATCTGAAACTGATCAGAATTAATTATTTGTGACTCATTTCGCTAATTTCTTCTTGAGCTGATAGTAACATTCGTAACATTCGTTTCTTGATACGGGCTGTCTTGCTGTTTTCTCGTTAAAAAATTCAGGAAGTCAACTACTGGATATTTTATAATGAGTTTTTGAATTGCCCTTAGGTATAGTATCAGTTTGCCAGACAAATTCGATTTTCATCATTTGGTGATGCAGAGGGAAAAAGGAGTCATGTATTTAAACTAAGATACTCAATCTTTCATTTTAACTGCCATGAGCAAGCTCATCACGATTGTCACAGCCACGAAGATCCAATTCTCGAAAAATGGAGATGAGGACATACCTCTAACTGATACCTCTAACTGATGATTCGGATTATCGGCTAACAATCGATGCTCGAAATAGACTTGATCGGTTGCAGGCCCAGGTTTGTAGTGTGCGAGGCAGTCTTAAACCAACTTGCAAGTCTCCTTATGAAGAAAACTCAACCCGCCTGTTTTGTTTGTCTGGTTGTTTAATGAATCCTTTCATAACGTTCTAGATATTTTATGAAGCTTTGACATCCTGACAGTATTCAGTTAGTACGCTCCCGGCAGACAGTAGATATTGCTTATCGCACGATCTTATTGACTAGCTCGATGGTGCATAACTTCCACGTTTTGAAAGTTCAGTTCAAGCATCAGCGAGTTCAGTTTAAACCTTCAACAAGATGCTTGGACAATAGCGTGTTCTAAAGAATAGATTCTGAGATGAGGGCAGGCTGCATTCACTCACGGCCGTTCATCACTGGAGCCGGAACCAGTGGAAAGTCAGCGGAGAGAAGATAAAGTCTCAGTTGAGCCGAATTATTGTCGATAGAACACTGGTCAATTGCTGATGCTCGATAACCAATAAGAACATTTTAAAAATGCCCGAATTGATTTTTTCAATACGGTAATGCGTCTGAAAAAGCTCGTTTTAACGTATGGTAGTCACGTATGATAATTACCCCAGTCAGAGATTATTAAACAGCTCGGTCGCTGCGTTACGTTAAGAACACGTTTACACTATATTGATAAAAACGATTGGCATTTGATGTAAATGCTGATTTAAAGCTTTTGTTCCTTAAGAACCCTTACTCTTTTTTTGTTTTTTAATTTCCAATAGTAAAACGCTTCTCGTCCTAACAGTCTACATTGTATTTAATGTATGCAAGCGACTCATGGGCAGCTAGGTGGCAAGACGCAAGTGATCTTGATAGAATGAAACAGTGTTGCTAATCTGATTTGCATCGGTTTCGGTTCCAAGTTTTAATTCAAAATAAACCCCGTGATTCACTTTCAAATTTGAGGTAACAAATACACCGTTAGCTTTATGTTCCACCCGTTCACTGAAAAGGAAATAAATCTACCCAGGGAAAGTATTGTGATGTGTGATGTCAGAAAAGGAGAAAGGTTTAGTAGTGCACTCAGTCCTAATATTGAAAAAGAGCTAATGACTAATTACTAGATACCTGGCATTATTTAATGGCAGTCTGCGGTCATCAACAAATTAGCAATTTCATTCGGTACAGGTCTAGGCCTTTTTGCCCCCCACGATATTAAATTAGCGGATTTTATTCGCAACCACACGACAAATTAAATTACCACTTACGCCATGGGATATAAATGACATTTTGAAACAAACCGATACACAGACTGAAAGAGTTTTACTGGGATGATTTCTTTCAGTGATACTTTTTTTTTGTTAAGTTTTTCCGAAGATTTTTTTCAAAGCAGCATTTGTTACCTTACTAAACCCAAGCAAAAGCAACTGATCATAGGTGAAGCTATTTGATAGAAATATAAAATAATTTCCTCCAAAGCAATGTATTATTTCACATAAAATTCAGTCTTGATGGAATAAACCTAGGTTACTGTCTTATTGGGTATAAAGATGGAAATGTTTGTATAAAAAATAATTTCTACTCACAAGAAGCGGCCAGGATACACTGTGAAGTAGTACAGAACCCGCGCTGCTGCTTTCCATTCTCACCAATGTGTGAAGAGCAGTTTTGCACCAAGCTTGGGTTTAACCTATTGTAGTTTCGCATTTTTTCTATTGCTAAAAAGGCTATCAAGGCAATGCAGGTTAAAACCAGCAAAACAATCAAAAACGCAAGTACTGAGGTGTTACAGTGTCGTCTAGATTGTTGATCACTTCCCCGCATAATTCTGACCTCGCCGTTGTTTGCATCGCCGTGTAGATGAATCTCGTCATGCTTTGCTAAGCGATATCTCGAATCTGCCATTATTTTCTCAAATAACCGCTAGAAGTGATGTCGTAATTATATCTCCTTGAGTATACTGGAAATCTGTCAGTTGCTAGCGGAGTGGACGTTAGTTAGAAGCATAGATTGTAGTAAGTAGCGAGTGGTTGCTAGAGGAGTACCACCCATGAACGGTTAAAATGACTATCTTGTTGTGTTGACAGCTGAAAATGTTTCAATCAGCTCTTGATAGATTTGCTTATTTACCATTCACATATTTTGACCATGCTCTTTGTTTGTGGCTTCAAAACAGAAATAGCCTAATAAAGTGTGAAAATGATTTCATTTATGGTAAACTTACTCAATATTTAATGAGGTTGTGTCGGTAAGTCATCACTGAAAAACAGAAAATTTAATTTTAGAAAATCGAATGATACGAGTCATTACTTAAGCTACTTAGAAATGTTCAATAAGTGAGACTTTTGTAAGTGGCCGCTATTCAAATAACTCCCTGTGACAGATTACGACTTGTTATCAGTTTTTCAATTAAATCTGGAAACGCAGATTTCAGTACGTTTGTTATTTACTTCATTTTTTGGAGCCGTCAATATTAGAGTACGATTGTTCGAAGGTGCCACACTTCACAGTTTGGTGATGTTGTACATTTTCTCTACAAAAAGCTAGTTGTATTGTTTTAAGAATGATGAAAGTTGATAACGTTGTTTTGATCTATGCTGTTTCCTTAAATGTTTGAAGTAGAATGGAAATATGTTATCGCCTCATGATATGTTTCTACAACTTATGTATATTCCTGGCTTTTTGAAAACCGGACTACTAATTAAAACATGTCAGTCTCTCGCACTGATTGGCAATTTAATGGCCCTTGTTACTTGAAAAGTAAAATCTCACTTCATAAAGAAATTCTTAAATACATGGGCTTCCATTTTATAGAATCGTCTGTCTTCAAGGTAACAAAAGTGAAGCTTTCCTCATTAGTCTGGACGAAAATAAGGCATTTTAAGGGACAATTTTTAGTGTTGGCGTCACCGATTGCAAAGCAATTTCCCCAGTTCACCCCATTTTTCATTGCAAGTGGTCTCCCAAGAACAATCTAAACCAACACTGCTCAACAAAACCAAGTCCTACAACCACCAGTTTTAATAACTGCTTGCTGACTTTGAACGTTATCAATAGAGTGATAGTGTAGGTCGTTGCTTGCATGCAAACAGCACAAACAAACTGCATAACAGAGCGAAAACACATCAAACTTTACAACAACCCCACCACCCTGAAATTCAACCAGGCTACCCCAGGGCATACCAGATGATAGCCCTGTGTCTGTGCAACAACATGACACCCAGCTAGACACAAAGCCCCCTCAATTTGAGGGAGACACTGAGCTTTGAAAGACAGGGGTAAGCCCCGGTACAAAAACACAGAAAATCCTCACTCTAGCACAAAGCATAATCCTTAGAACAACCCCACCCCCCTGAATTTTAACCAGACTACTCCAAATGCATACCAGATGATAGCCCTGTGTCGGTGCAAAAACATGACACCAAGCCAGACACAAACCCTTCTCAATTTGAGGGAGCCATTGAGCTTTGAAAGACAGATGTAAGCCCCGATACAAAAACACAGCAAATCCACACTCTAGCACAAAGCATAGTCTTTAGTACAACCCCACCCAATTGGAATTTAACCAGGCTACCCCAAATGCATACCAGATGATAGTCCTGTGTCTGTGCAACAACATGACACTTTTAATAGCTTGACGGAAGCCGGCCCCGAGAAAAAAAATTAGCTGGCCAACGTGAATACCAGCTGAGCTTTTGGGCGCACTCTCCACACTCGTAGGCCTACTCTGAGACAGTCAGGCGACTTTAGGAAAATTCGCTCAAAACATTACACGATTTAAGGCAACTTTAGGTGACTTTAGACGACTTTAGGCCATTTAAGGTGACCTAAGGCAAACCAAATGTAAGTATAAAGAGAGTGATTTTACTTGAACCATGAAGCGGGTACTAACAAATAGTACAAAATTGCGAGAGGTAAACAAAAGAAGACAATAGCATTAGGGAATAATAGAGTTTAGTATAATTACATCGATAATTATATTAAATAGAGCGCTATTATTGGCTAGGAGCTTTGCTTTATCCCGCTATAATTACCGCTTGGCGATTATAACATTGAAGGCTAGCAGTTTTCAAAATGGCAGCCAGAGTCGGAAATTGATCAATAATGACTATTCGCCGATATTCACGTCGCCTTCGGCGACTAATTGTTAAGTAGTATTCTACTACCTATTTCACGGTTCAAGTAAAATCACTCTATGATAGCCCACGTTCGATATGTTAAAATTCTAACATGACTACGAGGCTTTAGGGTAAAAATTGCAAAACGTTTACGACTCTACTAGTATGGTATTGATGCTATCTTAAATTTTGAACAATGAATATCCACGTTGTTGATTTACACCATAACGATCACCTTTGTAATGGCTACGTGATAAATCTCGCTTTTCGAAACCAAAAAATATATATTAGAGTGAAATGGTTTGGTATTTCACTGGCGTTAATATAATGAAGAGAACAATACATGACCTCTTGGAAATATGAAATTTCTCTTTTCGTGTTGAAACATATTTCACTCCTTTGCATAATATTTTAAACACTTGAAGAGAAATTTCGTATTTCCTTGCGGCCAGATATTACACAGAAGTTACTTGCTTCTATTCTCACTGGGAGCCGTCACGTGCAAGCGCTCCCTGTGCTCTTGGGACCCGTGCATTTAAATTCCAGCGCATCTGTGGATCCGCGGGGGAATATATTTGTGAGTTTAGTATAAATTGACCTGTTTTTAGTGCAACTATGTTATGTTTTAAACACAAAGAGCAGTGTTTTATCCGCGCTGGAATTTTTAGCCAGTGACAAAAAACGTGCTGTAAGTGTTTTGGAATGTTTAAAAGTTAATTGGATGACGGTGATCAAGAAGATCCGGGCGAATTCGCAGAAGTCATCCTTACAAAGAAGATTGATTTGTAATAAGAACTTTGCTTTGTACTTGAATTGTCGACCGATTTAAATACAGAATTTTGACTAAAATCCGTGTGTCTATCAGTATTAATTTTTGGTTTCGTTTGCTTATTAAATATTCTTATTCGACGACAAAAGGCCTATTGGTTGTTTTACAGAACTGTTTAATCCCCAGCAAAGCTCAACAGTGTCCCGATTATGCGCACGCGCGAGCGTCATTCTGTTTTTTCTTCAAAAGAAAACAGAACTGTCATGTTGACTAAATAAGATTTCCTTCCGGACCGCACCGCCGAGGAAGATTTGTTGTTTACATTCTCAAGTAATATTTTTGATTTGGCTCGCGGCACGAAGACTCATAGCGATTTTTACGCTAGCAGGGCCGCCTCGCGACCCGAAAATCTCGTTCCGCTCGCTTTAAAAACAACTTTTCTAATGTGAAACTCGTGTCAGAGGTCAATTGATCCAAGTCCAGTAATATTTGCCTGATTTGCTCGAGTTCTAGCCTCAAACGTTTGAAAGATATAAAAAAAAATGCAATCTCAACGCTATGAATCATCGCGAAGGTTAGTCATAAAATCTTATTATGATTTCATTGCACTAGTTTTTCTAAACATGAAGGTCATGTAGCGCCTGTTTGCTTGATTTTGTCGGCCGTTAGGAGGTTCATTTAAAAGTTACTAACGCGTCGTTGCAAAACATTCTGCTTCACGAGGCTTAATTCCACAAGATCTCCTCAGTCACATCAATGTCTCAATGGTTTCTTTCCTACGGTCTTTATTGTTTCTGTTTCATTTCTGCGTATTCCTTTCACAATTACCTGACCTTGTATGGAAGTTGGCAGAAGAAATAAGCCTTCAATCGGCATCAACGCGCTTCCCATCTTTTGGTCCTCCGGCTAACGGCAATAAAAGTAACGCCAAAAGTCCCGATTTCGCCCAAATCGAAACTTAACGGGAACAACATATCAGTGATCTGTAATCCTGAGAAGTTTTAGTGTAATTTTGAACTCGGTCAAGCGCGATGCAACGAATTTTTCAAGGGTCTCTTATCCTCGCATCTTTTGATTTCGCGACATCCTTTCCAAAAATCAAAGTTTGGTGCATGCGCAGTAACGGGATACTGTCCCTTTAACGCAAAAACCTGGGTAACGATGCGTGAAACGGAACACGCGGTTCGTTATTCAATTCGACTTACAAGTTGGAACGATCTTGTGATAAAAAAAAGTAAATCCTGCAAGCTTCGTAATAAGAATTGTCTTCTAGTTCTCCTTCTCTGGCGCAGAAATTTTGTATTATTTCACCTACATATTTGGTAGCGGTGTACGTTCCTCGAACTCTTTGAATGTTGATCTCCGTCAATATTTATTTCTTATATACTGGACCACCCTCTTACTTGTTCAAAGATATTAAGCAACAGCTGTCTTCATTAGATGAGTGACAGTCCAAATGCGGTCATTGCTAAGTTTTCCAAAGCATCAACCTCGTCGAAGAGACTATCACGTGTCGGACACTATGCCTTCTACATATTTTCCTTTTCATCGTCACATTCTCTGATTGCTCGGAAAATGAAACGCTATTTATTACCTTGGGCTAAATTCTTACCCACAAGATACTGAAAAACCTACAAGCACTTGCTCTGAAAGTTAAAATGTATATTCTATGAAGACGTAAATTCTCTTTTGTTAATTTTTTTTCCCCAAACCAACAACCTCCTCATGGTAAGAACGTAAGAATCCACTCGCATCCTTTCTTCAGTATAATCTTCCTTTCAGAAAGAAAAACGAGTTTTAACTTGCTTTAGAACATTGTTTAAGAGTAAAACTGACGATCGAGAGTGAAAAGAGCCAGTTTTTTCTTTTTCTTCGGCCATTTAAGGCAGAGATACCGCAACAGCGCAAGCGAATTACTGCGGTCCCGGCAGGTTCAAAAAGTTAAAAACAGTGAACGAACGAGGATCACATACAACAAGAAATGGGGCGGTTAAGAGGTCTAGCAGGGTTACATTGTA